CACACTTGGAAGAAGAGGAGACGCACAGCGGAGGAGGCTGGCGCTGCTGCTGGGGGCTCGACAACTCCCCCTGCCCGGACAGAGACTGCCTTAGGCCCGGGGAGGTGGCCCTGGGCCCCCAGCAGCCCCCAGCAGGCAGGCCCTCGGCTCCGCCTCTCTCTCCCAGCCAGAGTGGCCCTGTGAACAGCACATCCGCCAGGCCGTCCGCCCGTGTATCAGTCTACGGCGATTCTGGCGACCCTCGGCTGAAGCTCAAAGCCCCAGCTCCTCACTGGGCCCCTCAGGACCCTGCTGCCCATCTCAGGCCTCCACCCGACACTGCGCACGTGGCTGCAGTGTGCGCAGTTCCACGTCCGTCCACAGTCTGTTCCTCTGCCTGGAATGCCATTCCTCCCCCGGCCCCCGACCCCATCCTTTGCGTCTCAGTGCTTCTCCAGGCCTGGCCTGGTCCTGCCGGTGTCCCCACAATGTGCTGGGCTCCCCATTCTCCACACCTCCCAGAACACCCGTCTGAATGGAACTGTGACCCCTGACCTCAGCCCAATGATCAGTGGGATGGGCCATGTCTGGAAGGGCCATCTGCCCGGGGGCCTGAGTTTCTATTTCTCCATTTTCCTGCGACATACTTGTGCCTGAGACTGAGGGACACCAGAACTCTGGCACGTGGCTACTCAGAGAAAGACTACATTTCCCAGCCTTCTTTGCAGCAAGTAAGGTCATATGACTAAGCTCTGGCCAATGGGATGTGAGCAGAAGCAGTATGTATTTCCAGGTCCCGTCTTTAAAAGGAAAGGCAAGCTCTTCACTTCCCCTTTGCTCCTCCTCCTTTCTGGAGTGTGGAGGTGATGGCTGGAGCTGGAGCAGCCATTTTGGACTGCAAAACAAAAGCCATGTCTTGAGGATGCCAGCACCAACAAGGCAGAAGGATTTTAAGGCCCTGACATGTGGGGTCTCAGCCCTTGGATGCTTACACTCAGAGCACTACACGAAAGGTAACTACACTTCTCTCCTGACTAAGCCAATTTTATTTTGGGGTCCCTTGATGAAACTTGTTGTATTTTCACTGACTCTTGTGCTGTTTCCAATGATGTAGCTATTTGGTCTGCGTAATGGGTTGGGAAGTGTCCCCAGATTCATATCCCCCTGGAACTTCAGAATGTGGCCTATTTGGAGATAGGGTCTTTGAAGGCCATGTGAAGACACAAAGACAGGGACTCCTCTCACACAGGGGGACAGCCATCATATGACAACGGGGGCAGAGACTGAAGTGGCCACAAGTCAAGGAACATCAGGATTGCTGGCACCACCAGGGGCTGGGAGGAGCCAGGAAGGATTCTCCCCTGGAGCCTTCGGCGAGATGGCGGCCCTGCTGACACCTTGATTTCCGACTTCTAGTCTCCAGAACTGCAGGAGAATAAATTCCTCTTGTCTTAAGCCACTCAGTCTGCGATATCGTGTTACGCAGCCCTAGGAAACCAATACAGTTCACCACGTGGACAGTTACAGAGTAAAGCCTCCTCTTTGTGGGGCCGTGACCTGCGGAAATGAATTTCAGCTGCTGACCGAACCCTCTGGGCCACGCACGGGCGCGCGTGGCAGGGCCTGCTCTCCACGGGCCCGACCCAACGAAGCTGCTGGCGCAGCCTGCGCCTCCCACTCTACCACCACTGCCACCTGGACCCACCACGGCTCCGGGCTTGGGGACAGCCAACATCACAGACGGGGCACAACCTAAGGGACCTGGTATTCCTGATGCAGAGGCAACTGCCGTCTGCCAGACAGGACTTCTGCCCGAAGCTGGTTCATAGGTCTCACAGTGGGGCAAGGGGACACTGCAGGGGGCGTTGACCCCGGCTCCTGGCTGATGGACTCCACTTCGACCCCTCTCAGGGCTACGGGCTGTGCCTCACCAGCTCACCATGGTGCTGTGTTTTGAGCCAGTCAGCGGACTGCCACACCCATCGTGGCCCCTGAAACTCAGCGGTGTCATGTTCTGGCTTCATGCGCAGTCTGACGATGGTGCTTCTTCTACTGCAAAAGCCGCCCAACGGGGGCTGGTGGTCAAGGTGCCAGAGGCCCTTTCACGCTTCCCATGGCCCACAGACCTGGTATTGCCGAGCACTGGAATGGCCTTCTCCAAAGTCTGCTGGAGAAGATTTCTGATTCCGCCTCTGTCCCCGCTGTCTTGCCCACATGCCTTAGGCAGGCAGCTCAGGCCCTGAACGTGAGTGTCCCCAGAGAGGAGCACCTCTGTTTGGCCACCTCCTTGGTAATGACCAGGATGAAAGGGCGGAGGGGAGGCTATCTAGATTCTTCCTGACTCTCCTGAGCAGGGTGCTGCTTCTGTCCCCTAAGGGTGCCCTTTGGACAGCCGGGGTGGTCCAAAAGGGGGCCCAGGAGATGCAAACTTAATTCTGGTCCAGCCACCTGGACTCTCCCGTGGGACCGACACGGCCCTAGATCCAAGGATGACAACCACTTGGTTGAGGACATTGGGTGCCCAAGGGTGGGCCATGTGGTCAAAAGTGTGGAGTGTGGTGGGTCTCAGTAAGTTTTACAAAAATGCCCACAGCCCTTTTGCACCTGACCTTATCAGTCGGGGTCCCATCAGGAGACAGAAGCCACATGGCAATTTGAACAGGGAAAGTTTGCTATGAGAATGACTAACAGGAGTGGCGTGAGGAGCAGGGACAGGAGTACCCTTTAGGGCTGACCCCCACCCCCAGGCTGAGGTCTTGTTGGGAGGGTGCAGCTGTGGCTCATGGGACAGCAGAGAAGTCCCTGTGGTGCCGGCAGAATTGCTGGAAGTCTGCCGTCTGGAACTTGCCAGAAAACCTGCCTCCAGGATGCTGGGAAAGCTGCTCACAGGGCAGAGTCTCCCTGGAGGTGAGGAGCTGCAGAACCACCGGGGGGTCATCCTTCCAGCAAACGCACTGGAACAAGTGGATATCCACGTGCAAAAAACCCCAACAAACAAAAACCCCGAAACACAAAACACAAAACTAAAACACTACTTTGACCCATAACCTTGCACCAAAATTTTTATTTCACTGAAATTGAATCATCGACCTAAATGTAAAACCTAATACTATAAAACTTCCAGAAGAAAACACAGAAGAAAATCTTTGTAACCCTGGTAAGGCAAAGATTTCTTTGATGTGACACAAAAGGACTTGCACAAACCATAAATGAAAACAATGATAAACTGGACCTCATCAAAATTAAAAACTTGCATCCTTGGCAAGACACTGATAAGAAAATGAAAAGACAAGCCACAGGTGGGGAGAACATCTTTGCAAATCACATATTTGATAATGCACTGGTATCCAGAAGATATAAAGAAGTCTCAAAACTCAATAACAAGGAAACACAGTAAAAAAAAAAAAGATGGGCAAAAAAATTGGATACTTTGCCAAAGAAGACACACGGGTGGCAGCTAAGCACAGGACAAAACGTTCAACATCATTAGTCGTGAGGGCAATGCGAATGACAGCCACAGAGAGGCACCACTGCGCACCCCCTAGAATGGCTGGAATTTAAAAACTGACAATACCAAGTGCTGACGAGGATGTGGAGCAACTGGAGGTCCCGCCCCCGCGGTGGGAATGTAGATGGCGCAGCGGTGGACAGCGTCTCCGCAGGTGCCGGTGAAGTTAAACCTTCCCTGGCCACACGTGTCAGCAATCTCTCCTCTCCCCCTCCCGAGTGAACTGAAAACTTACCTTCACACAAAAACCTGAATGCGAAAGATTGTGGCAGCTCTGTTCCTGGTCACCCCAAGCCCGAACCAACCAACGGCTGAGCGCGCTGGGCATCTGTGCCGGGAAAGCCACTCGGCGAGGAAAACCAGGGACCGAGTTTCCATGCGCTCTGCCGCGGGGAAGGGCCAGACCCGAAGGCTATTACCACTTTATCCCATTTCTGTGACCCTGACACGAGCCAGAGCTTGCCAGGGCTGGGGCTGCGGGGAGGGCTCGAGGAGAGGGGGGCCCCGGGTGTGTGCTGTTCCCTGTCCCGAAACTGGAGGTGCCTGCCCGGCTATATTGTAAACACTGGCAGAGGCGCACGGTAAGAAAGGCGCATTTTACTTGGTTCCGTAAAGAAACGAAAGAAACAGGCAAACGCCGCCACGGCGTCCACCGCCCCTCCAGGCCGGGTGGTTGGCACGGGACCCCCACTCGCGGCCTCGCCCCGACATGTCCCCGTCCCTGGGCTCACTGCCCCTCCCGCCCCTGCCACGCGGGGCCTCTGCACGCTGCCCGCCTCGGCCGCCGCCTCCCTCCGCGGGGGCGCCCCAATCACTCAAGGGTGCGGGCTGGGGGCGCGTGTGGGCAGAGCCTCGGCGCCCTTCCCCTTCTCACGGGGCGGGGGCGCGCGGGGGGAGAGCGGAGAGGTAGGGG